TGGTGAATTATTTTTTCCTGCATCCTAGTTGTTTTTAAGAGATCCTTTCTTACCTTTTCACTAGCTGCACCAGCATCTTCAAGATCTGAAACTCTATCTTCACTTTCACTCAAACGGTTTTTCAGGCTTGTAATTGAGATTTTAAGGTCCTTATACATCTCTTTGACTCTGCTTCATGTGATCTATTTCTTTTCTGTATTGCTCATTCAAGGAATCCATCATTTTTTAAATTTCCTATATTTTTTTTATCAATGTCTTCTTTAGAAGCAGTTAATAGTTCTTTTACTGCAGAGTTTTTTACAGATTCGGTTTCTTTACGTTTCTGCATTTGATTCTTTAGTTCAGGTGCTATGAGTTTGAGATTTCTTTTTTCACTTCAGACACTAATTCTGCTTTGAGTTCCTTTAAACCTTTCTGTACTGGCTTATTTACTTCTGACATTATTAATTCATGTATTTCAGCTAAGCTAGTGTCCACTACATTTGTTCTGGTTGGGCATTGTGTTTCCTGTATATGTTTCTGCATTTGATTCTTAAGTTCAGCTGCTATAAATTGAGTTTTCTTTTTTTTTTAATTCCAGAAATTAATTCTGCTTTGAGTTCCTCTTTCTGCTGTTGTTTATTTACTTCTGACACTATCGATTCATTTATTTCAGCTGAGTCAGTGTCCTCTGCACTTGTTATGGCTGGGCTTGAGACCTGAGATTGCATTTTGTTCCTTGTCTTTATCATTTCATTTAACACTGACCTGTGGCCTTTGGTGTAGAGCTTTGGTGCAATTATGTTATCACTTAATGAAATTCAGGTACTGATATACCAAGTTCTAGTTCATGCAGTTGTGCCTGGCTTGGGTTAGGCTACTGTGACCAGCTCCTTACCGTTGTTGCCCTTGGAGGTGGGTCAGCTGTACACCTCTGGTAAGATGATCTGTTCCTGAAATAGCTGTGTGGTTTTGACCCTAGTCTCACTGCGGGGACTTTAGCTGCAGGGTTTTACCTGAAGCCTGTATGCTAGGTCTGGAGGGTTATGAGGAGGCTCTCCCACACACTCACCAGTGTTGTGTTTTGGTGGGTCTGCAGGACTCCCAAGAGCGCGGCAGCAGTTCTTACTCAGATGGCAGGCTGCGCTGGGTCTGGCCAGGCAGGGGGGTCTGGATAACGGAGGCAAAGGCCTCTTACACGGCGGGCCTGTGCTTGGAGTGGTGGGTGGGCTCAGGACAGAGCAGAACTGGGGTTGGTTGGATATGGAGCAGAACTCTCCCCCACACTCGCAGGGACTGGGGGTTGGTTGGATATGGAGGGCCCAAAGCGCGGCTGAAGTTCTCACCCAGAAGGCGGGCTGTGCTGGGTCTGGCCGGGCGGGGAAGTGCCTCTCATGTGGCGGGCCTGGGCCTGGTGTGGGGGGCTGGTGTAGGACAGAGAAGAAGCTCTCCCCCACATTTGCAGGGTCTGGGGTTGGCCGGATATGGAGGGCCCAAGACCTGCGTTTGGAAATCATGGGTGAAATTCCTGGTGTAGTCCCTGGTGTCCTCAGCCATGTGAGCCCACCCACATGGATCCCCCACACATGGGTTAACTCCTGTGGCTTCAGAAAATCTCACTGAGCCACTAGTCTGTGAAACACCTGGGGCTCTGAACTACCCCAAATTACTAGCAAGGCTGGCGAAAATACTCACCGAGGGAGAGCTGTTCTGGATGGAGAGACATGTGGGGAAAGGGGTCCTGGAGAAGGGACCCCGAAACTCACCCCAGGACCTGAGGAAAACCAGACGTTTTCCTGGAAGAGAGGAAGGAGGGGAATGGAGGAGATGGAGAAAGTAAAATACATTTTATGTGAATGAATGATAATCTTTTTTCTCTCTTTTTTTCCACTCTGTTACCAAGAACAGAATGGTATCAACAAACCAGACACAGAGCCCTCGACTAAAAAGATTTCTGAGTCAGACGTCTTTCCTGGAAGCTGTGAACTTTATCCTCCAGCAGCCATTAATCTAATATTAGGCCCCTTAACCTCCCTAATTGTTCTCTTTCAGTATCAGCTGGTTTCATATTAACCTTTCAATCTTTCCCCTAATGCAGTTACCTCCACCTCGAGCCGGCCCCGGTTTATAAGTCGCAGCCAGCCCAGAAAGTTCTTCTTGCTGCAGCCCCCACCCCTCCCCTGAAAGCTGCCCTGTCCTCCTCCGAGTGCTGTGAAGGAAGCCCCTGGACACAGTGTGCAGCCTCAGGGCGCCTCAGCTGCAGGTGGAGTCTAAGGGACACAGCCGCAGCCGGCGCCTTACGCTTTGGGTCCTCACCGTGGTGCTGCTATTAGTGGAGATGACGGTTATTAATGGAAAACAGCAATAGCTGTCAGAGCTCCTCAGCCTCAGCTTGGCTGTGTGCTCTGCTATTTGAGCTTTTTGCCTTCTCTCCCAGGAAGAGCCATGAAACAGTGCTTGGACCAGGCAAAGTATCTGGGCAGATATGCAGGAACGCTGTGCCCGCCTATCTTAAGCTCACATGGTGCTTGGGAAGCCCCTCAGCTCTACTGTGTTCCAGTTTCCCAAAAGCCAAACCACAAGCACCAGCTCATGGGCCCCCCTCAAGCCTGAATTCAAATTATCACCTTTCCTACAGAGACAGTTTTGGAGAGAGGGCCTTGGGCACCTTGGCAACTGAAAATATCTATCATGTATGTATGTATGTATACACGAAATTATACACCAAAAAATGTAAGCAGTGAGAGTCTTTTGTTCCATGGGACACACACACCAAGCCAGGGTAGAAAGCTAGAAAGAACCCTAAGCTTTGCTGTTCAAGCCTTCGTTTCATGGAGTCAGGGCCTTAGGGTTGAGTGAGTCAGAGGGGTTACAGTGCGCAAGTGGGCTCCTCCAGCCTCCCCAGCTTCTGTCGGGCAGAAGAGGAAAACCAGGGTGACAGCACAGTAGGGGGAAGGGGAGTGGCGGCTTCTTCCTGGCCTGGCCCAGACAGAGGCATTCCGTCCCGCCACCCGGACCCCAGTCAGCTCTCGCCAGGTGTCCACCTGCGGGCCCAGCTCAGCTATCTATCACTGGCCAGCTTGGCGAGTGATTTTCCTGGTGAGGATGCCCCACCCAGCATCCCCTTGGGCTCTAGAAGGCCCTCACTGGAATACCCCGGAGAGCAGGAAGAGAACCCTGACTCCTTGGCCAGGTGTCTCCCATCCGGGCAGGTGTGTGTACATGGACTCAAGGCCCTCATCCTGGCCGCTGGGGTTTGGGATCCTCTCGGGGACAGCTCCGCTGCAGGCTCAGCCAGCTCTTCCATCGGGTTCCAGGGTCTCGCTTGGCACTGCCCACACCCCAAGGTGCGCTGATGCCCAGCCCTTTCTTTCCTGTGTGGGGCCTCTGAGGATGGGGTGGGGAGCAGATCCTGGAAAACAGGGGAATATCGCCCTGGACCTAGGGACACAGCCCACTTGGCAGATGGATGGCTTCCAGCCACACCCCGCTTGTGAGCCTCCCCTCATCCTAAAACTCACTCTGGGAGGGGTCAAATGCCTCCCGGCTGTGAACCCTGCCATGGTGGGCCAGAGGGCCCTGCCAGCCGTGGACCCGAGGGCTGGAAGTGAGCATGTTTCTGGGTGACAGGCAACTGAGACTAAAGATGAACCTGAAATACAATTGAGTCGACAAATAAATGCTTCAAAGCCAGGAGTGGTGGTGCACCCCTGTAATCCCAGCATGCAGGAGGCTGAGGCAGGAGTTTTGTTTGGAGTTTGACACCAGTCTGGGCTACAAAGGAAGTCTGAGGGCAGCCTGAACCGCATAGTGAGACCCTGTCTCAAAAAGACAATAAAATTAATAACACTTTTTTAAATTTTAGTACAGGGTCTACAGGGTCTCACTACGTAGATCAGACTCGTAGTGATCCGCCTGTGTTCAGCCTCCCAAGTGCTGGGATTACAAGCGCGTGCCACAATGCTCAGTCTCAGTCACTTGCTCGGCACGCCCCCGGGGGCAGGGCCAGCACAGTGCTCTGAGATTGAACCCCAGCTTCGATGTCTGCCTGAACAGGCACTCAAGTCTGCTGAGCGATTTGGCTGGCCTAAGCAAACACTTTTAAACAACAAGGTACTGTTTTCTAGTTCTTCCCTTATAAAATGAGGGCATTTTAGGCAACTGAAGCTTTAGCATTTTGTTTCTGTCCGTTGGGTTACCAGTGTCCAAAATTAGACCCAGAGCTGTCCAATTTGACCACTGTCCCAGGCTTATTATTTCTCCTGGAAGAGGACCGAGCAGCTCTCGCTGCACAGGCCAGGGGCTGACTCCCCATTTCTCTGAGTGCCATTTATCAGGCACCTGTGGTCAGCCGAGCTTGGCTTGGGCTCGGTGGGAGGCCGGCCAGCCAGGACATGCTGCTGCTGGGTGGGCACTGCCTGCTAACAGCAACAGAAAAAGGAGGAAGAGGAGGGAAGGGAAGGGAAGGGGAGGGGAAGGGGGATGGGGAGAGGAGGGGGGAGGGGGAGAGGAGGAGAGAGGGAGGAGGAACAACCAAGCGGTCAGCTCAAATGAACTGAGAACAAGCTCACTGGGAACAGGAGGGTTGAGACTGGAGAAAAGGCGGCCAGGCGGGGCTAGCCACCAAAACTGAAGGGGTCTTTGCCTGGGACTTGGGAGCAGCCAAGCCGAGCCGGCTTTCCTGTGTGGGTGAGGTGGGCAGTTGGGGTGCTGGGGTGCTGCTAAGTGATGTCGCTCACAGTTGTGAGTAGGAAGCGGGGCAGAGGGCCAAGCAGGCTGAGAAGCCAGGCTTTAGTCTGAGCGCCTGCTCGCTCGGCGGCCCTGCAGCCCCGCCCCCACCCTATGCACACAGCATTCCCTTTCTCTCCAGCACAGGCTGATGCCTGGGGTGGTACAGTCATTTCCATAGCAACCAATTGTTCTGTCATATGATTCTGACTCTGGGAACAGAAGGGACACATGAAACCACTAAGTGACAGAGATCTAGTTTTCCAGGAAGTGTCCCTGCTAATAAAGAGAAAATGTATACACTAGAAGATAAATGGAACAGGCATAAGCAAGTGCTAAATTTTCCATGAGACATCAGCTGTTTGCTAAAAACAACAATAACAACCTAATGGGCCAACAAGGACAGTGCCAGCCCAGAATGGCCCAGGAGTGTGCAGGGCAACATCCATGGCAGGCCTCATGTTTAGACGGCAGGGCAGAGACATTTGATGAGTCTCTCAGATGCTGTCCGCGTCCCGGGCCCAGACTGGCCAAGTTGCCCTTGGGAAGGCAGCAGATGCTAACAGGTCCCAGCTTTGCCAATCCATGGATGTGCTGGCAGGGGTCAGAGCCTGGGGATGACGCTGAGCAGGTCCCCTGCTTGCCTCGGTTGTCACAAAGGAGGTGACCAGACTCATCCCTGTTGCAGTGGCGCTCTGTCCAGGCCAGAGGCTGGCTTTAAAAGTCGAAGCCATATATATCGGGTTGATCGGACGTGTTGTGTGACTTCAGAGAGCAGGAGCAAGACCGATTCTCAGTCACCAGCCATCTGCATCTCCAGCTAACAGTCGCTGACAATCGCTATGTGACAATCAAGGGCTGGGCAGCAGGAACGAAGGTAAGAAGTGGTGGCACCTTTAGAATCCTCACATCCTACTAACAGGAGGGACATGAAGGTGTGGCCAGGCCCAGGCCAGTGACCTCGTGTGGGTTAGGGAAAGGCATCTTGGTGTGCGGCTGGAGACCTCTCTCCTTGCCCCAGGTTGGGCTGCAAGGAGAAGCAGGGCGCGGCCTGGGAGACAGGGAAGCAAGCTGGAGGGGGTGACGCTGAGCAGCTGGGGGCTCTGGCCACCGCTCTGAGGCCCTCATTCTTTTTAAAGATTTGCCTCCAGGTGAACAGAGTATGCAGAGAGGAGGAACAGCCTTGGGACAGCAAAGCAGAACAGCAGACCCTCAGTGAGAAAAGGACAAGGTCTGGGGTTGTGCAGGCAGATTGCGGCTCTAGGAGATTCGAGGTGGCATTGGTGACTGAGCAGACAGCCAGAAACCCTGTCAATCCGCCCTGTAGCTGGTGGGGGCCTGCGACATGGTTTTAGTGCAGAGCCATGTCTGTGTCGTCACCTGGAAAGATATGGGGGGTGGTTGAACACTAACCGCAGGACACAACCACCTCTCAGTTTCCTGGACTTGGCTACTTAGCAGAATCCCAGAAACTCCCAGGGACTAAGGATTAGCCTGTTTAATCACTCAACACCTGTTTATCAGCAACAACTTGGTGTTTTCCATGATGCTAAGAATTATCGTTTTTTGGCTTTTTGAATAAGATTAACATAAGGATTGTTGGGCTCAACAAAGGCATGGGCCATCCCCTCAAGGCATTTAGAGCACGGCAAGAGTTACACAAACACTTGATAGTTTATAGGAGATAAATTATGTTCTATTTAAGAGCTAAGTCATTGGTGGTCATGGTATATAGCAGACTACTATAATCCAAGCTATTCAGGTGGCTAAGATGGGCAGACTGCAAGTTCAAAGCCAACCTGCGCTACATGGTGAGACATTACTGCCTGTGGTGGATTGCTAACTGGTGATGGTCAACTTGTTACACCCAGCTGAACTGAACTAGCACAGTGCTGGGTATGGGAGGCCACCTGACGGTTGTTGCCGGCAGTCTAAGAGGCAAAACTAGAGAACATGAGGTTGGTAGGGAAGCTGTTGGGTGCTGTGAGAAGCTGTAAGGAGCTGTTGGTTCCCTTGGAGGAGCTTGTCCTGCTGGCTGTCCTGAAGAACTTGGCTGTTTTCATCGGAAAAGGAGTTCAGGATCTCAATGTCACTGAGAATGGCTGTGGTTCCCTTTGGGGGAGCACTGGACCTCATCTTAAGCATCGCTTCCTGGCTCTGGAGGGGAAGATGGTGCACTGCTCAGCCTCCTGGAGAAGCTTGTCATGTTGGCTTTCCTGTTGGGAACTCAGCTTTCCTCATCGCTGGAGGAGCTCAGGACCTCACTGTCACTGAGGATGGCTGTGGAACTTTGGAGGAGTTCTGGTGCTTACCTTGAGCTTTGCTTCCTAGTTCCAATTCAGACCCCTCAGCCTGCTGGCACAGATCCTTCATCCTGCGAGCACACACTTTCTAGCTTCCCCCACTGACCTTGGGGCCTTCCCAGAGGGTCCCTGAAGCGGGCCTGAATGAGACATTGCTGGGGCTCTAGGCCTCCAGTTGGACTTATGTGAGGCACTGTGAGGGGCTCTAGGTCTTCAGCTAGATTCATGCAGGATATTAGGATCCAGGCCCTTGGCTGAATTCTTTGGTCTTCAGTTTGTAGACAGATTTCCTGCACTCCTTGTACATGATTCTTTGGGTGACTCATTGTAAAATAATCTAATAAAATAAGCCCTACATTGTATTTTTCTCCTTGCAGAAACTCCAAACAAGACGCTGCCTCAAAGGAAAAAAAAAAAAAAAAAAAAAAGGCCCACATCAGGGTTGTAAGTGGATGAGAGAGAGACAGAGACAGAGAGGCAGACGGAGACAGAGACCCAGAGATAGAAAGGGACAGAGAGAATTCCTCAGGACTGGCTAATCTGGAAAGTCTTCAGGGAGAAAGTCTTGTGGGGAGGAAGAATAGACAGATGGAGAGAAAAATGTCAAAACAGAGGTGTATTTGGATGAGACGGTGCTTGCCGAAGCGCACATTCAGCAGCTGCTACCAGTGCCACGTAGCGCCGGTCTCAGAAGGAGCCTGGGCCTGACATGGAAAGAGACCTGCTCTGCCTCTGGAAGACCCTTCACTATCAGCCCGGACCCAGGTTCTGACTGTCTTATCTGCTGCTTCATAGGGTGAAGGCCTGGGCGAATGCCTTTCTTTCTGGGTGCTTCTGCCATGGCCTTGTGTGTCAGATGGGCGCGGGGATGTTATCTCAAGGACTCTTGGAAAGGGAGACAACAGATAAAGGACTCCAGGAGCAGCAATCCCCTGTCCCCTTGCTGGCCCATCAATAATGCCACAATTGAGACCCGAGGGAATAAGCATTCCAGAATCCTTTGAGCGTCCTTTAGAGTAAATATACAGGCTGGTCAGTGGGAAGAAAAATATGCTCTCTTCCCGCCTGTGGGGTGAGTTGACCATGCCCTCTTGTCTCCGGATGTTTGACTTCCTGAATCTTCTCTGAACAATGCCATCTCTGTCCTGGCACCCCTGGCAAGCAGTCCCATGAGAGCCAGGTTCTTGTCACATGTCCCTTTCCTGGAGTGAGTCACTGGAGTATTGAGCTGTAGCCGTAACCTTCACCGGAGAAGGGAGGTGAAAGTGGAGGGGAAAAAACACAAGCGTGTAAGGCTTGGTACTTAATGTTCCCTTCCATCAACATTGTGCCCCGGGGCTTAACCTTGCAACCCAAAAGTACAGCAGGATAATGAATGGGGTGAACTGAATGACCTGCTTGTAGTCCTCAAACAAAGGACCTTTCAGCAGTGCATGGTCTTATCTATTCCAGTCAAGACTAGTCTGTTACAAACCAGGGGAGAATGGGGGAATTTCTGAGAAACTTCTTAGTCCTATCGGAAAACTGGACAAGCCATTTTGTTATCTCCTCTGGAAAAGTGGTAACGGAAAAGAGGGAAAATCTAATTAACCAAAGGAAACCCACCTGAATGCTGCGAAGGGACAGCATTCTTTTCCCTTTGGTGGTTAAGCACAGTTTTAGGATGACAAAAAAAAAAAAAAAAAAAAAAGCAGCCAACATGTGACCTTCAAGATCTAATTCTTTTCTTTTCTTTTTTTTTTGCGGAACCAGGGATTGAACTCAGGCCCTTGCGCTTGCCAGAGAAGCACTTATTCCACTGAGCCATCTCCCTGGCCCCCAAGATCTATTTCTCAACACTAGGTATGTGCTTGGTAGTGGGCGGCATCACGGCTGCTGAATAGGGCAGAAAAATAGGAGGGTAGAGGTGGGCATCGTCTAGGTACCGCCCTGCGCTCTGTTGCTCGGCCTTGGACTGTGCTTCGCAGGACCTCACTGCTCTGAGACTGGGGTTCTTAATCTGAAACATGAAGTTGGTTCAAATAACTTAATCTTTTCTTTTGCACATAATCCCCCAAGTTTTAATGTTTATGGCTATTCTGATAAAAGAAGTAAGAGAGATGACAATGATCCTTCCCAGTACCACTCCATCACCCCTGGCTGTGCCCTAAAATGCAAGCCCAGAGGGGGCTCCACTTCTCTGCGCGTCCAAATGAAGCGAAGCTCACTTGCTGGCTCTTCTGGCATCGAGGCAGGGACGAGTGTGAGCGTGTGCAAGCCCAGCTCCACAGAGGCGTGCCTTCTAGTAAGGATGCAGAAATACCTGTAGACCAAGCTTAGGAGAAACAGGGCGTCCTTCCTGTGATAAGGGTCATCCTAGCATGGGTGGACTTCCTGGAGGAAAGCACGCTTGCGCTGAACTTGGGAGGTAGGTGGAGTCAAGTTAGGAGGCTGAGACCAAGAAGAAAACGGGCCCAGGGAAGAACAAAGGTGTGGGCAAGGCAGCGTAGTGCAGCTCACCCGAGGAGTGACAAGTGGCCCTTTCTGGCTAGAGCTTCGAGTGTCTGAGGGAGTTGAGCTCAGAAACTCAGGCAAAGGCCTATTCATAGTCTTCAGAATTTTTTTTTTTAATTTAATACTGTATTTAGGACAGGGTCTACAGGGTGTCACTGCGTAGATCAGACTCTTAGTGATCCTCCTGTTTTCAGCCTCCTAAGCACTGGGATTATAGGCGAACGACACCATGCCTAGGCTCAATCACAGTCTCAGAGTTCCCCGGGGGCGGGGCTCACATGGCATGTTGGGAATTGAACCCCAGTCCCTGAGCTCTGCCTAAGCAAGTGCTGTAGCCCGCTGAACTATCCGGCCAGCTCTAGCCTTCAGAATTTTGAAGAACTTGGACTTGGGGAGAGAGATCCTGCTCAGGAATGTGTCTTAGTGGTGCTTGGAGCTCATTCAGGGTGCCCTGTCAACAGGAAGGCTTAACAGACTAGGGTAGAGGTGGAAAGAGCCACAAAGGGTTATCACTACAGGCCACGGAAGCCTGCAGTCCAGTGTGAGAGCAGGACTGGAAAGGAGGAAAGCTTCGGAGAGGGTCCATAGAGGCAGTAGAGTGGGGTTCCAGGACAGGAGGGGTACGGGGGAGTAGAAGTCACCAGAGAGCAAGATGGCATGTTGCAGAGTGGAGTGGAGTGGAGCCCCATCGCCCTGACATGCTGGGCTCCTGAGGTAACTTATTCTGGGGTTTCCTGGTGGACAGAAATTGGCCAACTGTGGTGAATTATACTTCATCCCTCCACCTACTTTCCTTCATTAAAAATAGAACCCCTGTGTATTATTTGTTGAAAAATAAAAAAAAAATTAAAAAAAAATGATAATAATGTGCATCATTTTATATATGAATCTAAAAAATTGAAAAACAATATAACAGATTCCCATTGTGCTGCATTTACCTCATTAATTTGTAGTCACATATTTTTTCTGAACTATTTAAAAGTAAGCTATATAATGTCCCTTTCTCCTAAATACTTCTGTATTTCCAAAAACACAAATAAACATAGTATATTTATTAAAATCAGGAAAAAAAAATAGAACCCCTAACTTTTATCTGGACTCGTACCTTATACTCTTACTTGGCATAAAGATTTTTTTTTTAAAACCTTTATTGTAGGGCTGGTGAGGTGGCTCAGTGGTCTAAAGCACCTACTTAGAACAAGCTTAGCAAAGCACAGGGACCGCGGTTCAATCCCCCAGCACCACATGCCAGCCAGCCCCGCCCCCTGGTGGGCTGAGCAGGCCACACACACACACACACACACGCACGCACGCACAAATAAATTTAAAAAAATAAATAAATAAAACCTTTATTGTATCTAGGCAAGCTCGTGTGGTGACATCTGGCCGATGATTGGAGCCACCAGGGTCAGACTTCTGGAAAACAGTGCTTTCCTGCTGCTCAGAAGGCAGCGATGACTGGAGCGTGAGTGGCTGTCTTGAACCACAAGGCAAAAGCCGCACACTGAGCAGGATGCAGCCAGCTGGTCCGTCCACAGAGTGGCCTGTGGTGACTGTGGAATCACCATGCCTGTCCCGGGCTGCCGTCACCTGGATTTCATCGATGTGAAGGAGAAATAAATGGAACTTGTGCTATTATTTACGTTTTGTGTCTTTTGCAGCCTAATGGAATCTTAGGCTATTTAACAACATGCAAAGGTGTGCAATGCCAACTCACTCATAACTACCTAAGAATGAAAATAGCTGTTTCTGTGCTGCTGGACATCTTCTCCCAAGTCTTTCAGCGCCCCATGAGCGAAGTCATTATCCAAAGACAGACAGGAGAGTACAGACTCCGGGCCGCAACAGCCAGGCTGCCTAGCACTTGGCCACATTCTTCGCTTACAACCCTGCCCTCCTCCCTCAAAGCAGTAAACCTCGGTCCTGTACGCCCCGGACTTCCTCCCACTGGGGAGCACTACTTTCTGTCTGCTCTTTTCTACATGCCCAGTAACCTGCCTTTTGTTAATATGATGCAAATCAGGTACACTAAAATCAAAAATAATTCAGCTCTCTGGTTGGCATCAGATTTGAGCCCCGCTTCTGGACTTACATAATAGACGTCTTAACTGAGCAGAGACTTATTTACCCAAAACCTGTTTTTGTTCCTTAGGTGTGCGTGGTTTAGCTTCTTAATGCTTTTCCTGCACACAGGATGCTTCCTTATCTGACTATTTGTATGTTCTAAAGGATACTTTGACTTATCACTAATGGCAGGGACCAAAGAAATAACCAAGTTTGGGACTAACGCCAGAGTTCAGCTGGTGCGGAGGCCAGCAGGACAAATCCTACCGCCTTCCTGCAAAAGACATCCAGAGGAAAAACTGGTTTTAGCAGGGTCATGGCAAAAACAGTTGCAGAGTTGCTAAATTTGAGGTTCTAACCACCAACCTTGTGTGGAAGCCTGGCCGTGTGCCTGGCGGTGTTCTACGTGCTTAAATAAGTCGCTTCATGGGCCAGCCAGATAGCTTAGCAGACTAGAGCACCTGCTTAGGCAGAGTGCTGTGGCCAGGACTCAATCCCCAGCGTGCTATGCCAGCTCTGCCCCTGGGGGCACACTGAGACTGGGCGTGGTGGCACGTGCCTGTAATCCCAGTGCTTGAGAGGCTGAAAAGAGGATCACCATGATCTACGTGGTGAGGCCCTATAGACCCTGTACTAAATACATGAAAAAAAAAATAATAATAAGTCACCTCACAACCTCAGAATGAGGGTGTACTACTGTTGTCTCTGCCTGTGGGTGGAACCCAGGAGCTAAAGAGCCGTTGGATCTGCGCAGCAGCATAGGGGTAGCAAATGGAAGAGCCCTCACTCAAACTCACCTGCTTCTGATCCACAGTCCTCACCTGTACCGGTGTGCTTTCTAGATAAAAGTTCCTCGTAACTGCTCTTTTATCAAAACATATGCAAACGCTGTCTTATCAGACTACATTTCTGCATTCTCCGCAGCATGAATTCTGGACCTAAAGGCTTATCTGAAAACAACCTCCTAGCAGGGGGAGACTTTCTTTCTCTCAGTTAGCAATAGTATGAAACTTTTGAGTTTTGTTTTTTTGTCACACCTGCTATGAGCCTGGGGCCTCTCTAGCGCTAAACAATTGCTTTACCACTTAGCTGCAACCCAGCCCCATATTTCATCAGTTGCAGTAGCCTGTCCCTATAGATTGTTGGATTTTTCAATGCAGGCAATCAGAGAAAAGTGCCTGCCCACAATTTGCAAGGGGTGTGTGTGTGTGTGTGTGTGTGTGTGTGTGTGTGTGTGTAACCCAGGCTCTCACCCGTGCTAAGCAAGTGCTCCACCCCCGAGCTGCACATAGCCTGTTGTAAGTTTGATGGGGCTTTTCAGTGGTGTGCAGGCAGGTGGGCTGGAAGGCGCTTGGAGCTGGAGAAAGCTCTAGCTTGCAGCATTTTTCAGTTTCCGCGGGGTAAATACTCCCACAATTACTGACTTCAAGCTGACAGTGCAGCCTGTAAGATTCCTGAATATTTAACAATTGACTCCAGCGCAGCCAGCACAGCGCAGTGTACCCCGGGCCCCAAGGATACAATGGTGGCCGAGGGTGGCCATGCTGGCCCGCACTCTGGGTGTCTACTGCCCACCTGGGCGTTCCGAAGCTGGAGACCCTTCCTGTGTGCCCTTCAGCGCGTGTCGTTCACCCATCCTAGCTTGGCATGTGGCCCAGGGTATTCTGGGAAGCTCACTGCCCGATTCCAGCCCGGTGGCCAGCAGGTGGCAGCATGCTTACAGTCGACAGCCACTGCCTCCTTAAATGAGGGGCCTTTGTTCTGAGCCAGAGGCTGTGTCACCAGGAGAAAGGCCCTGAGGGGCAAGCTAATCAGCTGTCCTTAGCTGACCTCTGCCTACGGGAACCCAGTGGAGAGGCTGCGCAGCTTGAGAGAATAACAACCTTGGCAAACAACAGAGTGCACAGAGCCAACCGGCCCCTTGCCTGAGCGCAGGGCTGAGGCTTGGCAGGGCTGACATCACAGGAGGAGACCCCAGCCCGCCACGAGGCCTGAGAGCAGGCCTGGGTTGCCAGTGACACGGAGAGCTGCTTTTATTTCTGCCTGCCTCTGCTAGGCACCTCACTGTGAGGGCTGAGGTTCATTCACCCTCTCTTCCGACTCTCAGGTGGTCGTTCCCGTCAGGGTCACCAACCAGTCGTCCCAGCTTGCCCAGGACTGTGCTGGTATTAGCACAGAAAGCCCGTGTTGTGGAAACCCTTGCAGATAAGCCAGTCAGCCACTGAATCTTCTTGTCCGGGCCTTGGACAGCACCTGCCCTGCATTGCAGCGACACAGGCGTGGTCCTGCGGGACAGGGGCAAAGGGAGACTTGCAGGACTGGCCAAGCTCCGCAGGCAGCAGTGGGATGGATTCGGTATTCAGAACCTGCTCCCTTTCCTTTTTGCCTGAGGTGTGAGCCCGACTGTGGGAGGGGGAGACCCCAGTGCAGTCCTGGGCTGACCTCCACACACCCCATGTCTGACCCCTCCCTCTTCCTCACTGACCTCAGCACATCCTGTGCACACTCTGCCCCTAGACTCTGCGGTGGGCAGAGAACTCGGTGCTCCAGGGGAGGGCGGGACCGTGGCCTTGGAGAGGAGGTCTGGCTGGAGCAGGGAGGGCCAGGAGGCTCCCAGGAAGCCCGGAGCTCCTGGCACACGTGAGCACATTCCTTTCTCCTGGGGCAGCTCTGGCCCTGGGATGGTGATGAGACTTACCTGCTCGTGTCACCACTGACCCCTCCGACTGGCTCCTTCTAGGTCTGGTGTGGCGCACGGTGAGGAAGAGCCAGGAATGATAAACCCTGTGGCTTGACTGAGGGCTGAAAGCTTTGCTTATACCAAGGCGCAATGAGAAAAGTCTGCAGATGGAACGTGCCTGGGCTGGCTCGGGAGGAAGGGCAGAAGCCTGTCCAGGGGCCCAGGCCTGCTCCAGCCGTCATTGTCTGCTCCTCACCCTTTTCCTGGCACTGCCTGTGTGGCCAGCCTGGCCTGCTGCCCATCCCTGGGGATGCCAGGCTCCCTCCTGCCCTGCAGCCTTGCTCAAGCTGGCTCCTGTGCCTGGCTAGGAATTAGAAGCCACTGTGGAAGGTCAGATGGAAGCTTCGGTTAAGGGTGAGAAGGGGGTCCCGTCGGCAAGCTGGAGGGCATTGCAGACAGTGTGCCTGGCCTGCGTCAGCCCTGCGTCACCCTGTTAGGGAAGCGTTAACAGGGGCCTAGAAACGGACCTCTCATGAGCTTGCGCTTCACATTTTCTGTGTCACCACCCACCCCTGACACAAGCTCTGTCACCCTCGGCTTGCTCATACTCTCATTGTCAGAGACCTAATGCTGGCGGAGCCTTCTCTAGATAGGCGCTGAGGATGGAGGTGAAATCGTGCTGGCTCCAGTCATCTGCCCCAAATCTGGATTTTCTGGAGCCTGAATTAACCCCTGCATCAGTTGAGATTCTAAGGACTTGGTGATTTTTACTAAGAGCAATCTTTCACCTTAAAGAACAAAGCCTGGGAAAAGGGGCAGATAATGATGAACGAACATTGAGTGTATTAAAGAAATACAGTTAGTAATGTGGCATTTGCCAAGTGAGTCAAGCCTTAGAATGTATGCCAACTCAGGTCTTTTTTAATTTTATTTTGTATATACTTATAGGATCTACAGAGTCTCACTACACAGCTCAGACTTGTAGTGATCCTCCTGTTTTCAGCCTCCCAAGCACTGGGATTGCAGATAGGAGCCACCACGCCCAGTCTTAGTCACCATCTCTGTGCACCCTGGTGGCGGAGCCAGCACGGCATGCCAGGGATCGAACCCCAGTCACTGTGTCTGCCGAAGTCAGGTATGTTTTATTTTTATTTGTTTGAGATAGGGTCTTGCTATGTATTCTAGGCTGGACTTGAACTTGTGATCCTCCTCCTTCACCCTCTAAATGATTGGATTAACTCTGGTTTCAAAAGATAAAATAAAATCTCCAAGGATTTGAACAGATGGTGAGAGCCCTTCCTGGTATCTGAGGACTTTTCTGATCCACCTCTGGAACAAGAGGAGACCAGAGCATCTGACACCCACATGAGCCCCATAAGGACGTCGGAAGGTGTGACAATGTATGGAGCAGACTGTGGTACGGCTCCTTGCAACCCAGGCCCTTCACGAAGCCATGTGGTGACTCCCACCTAGTGTGGCACTGTCCCTGTCAATGAACAAGCACACTGGGGTCCCTGGAGGGCTGCACCCCTAGGTTTGCATGATGTTAGTTCTTTCCAGAGCCCTCCTGTCCACAACTGTGGGCTCCCTTTAGGTTAACGTTAGCCACCTTCCTTGATCGTTTGAGAGCACCGCTCCGCAAGGTCCTGGGGAGAGCCCTGGATCTGAGACCTCAGAGCAGCTACAGAGACGTTGGGCCTGGACTACAACTGGGTTCTATTTACAGGACTGGAACTGCAAAGTTTTCAGGTAGCCGTGGGAAAGAGTCACAGATTGGGAAGCTACGGATGGTCGTGAGATGTGGGGGCAGAGAAAAAGACTCCAAGAATCTCTGCCCTGAGCTTCTGGGGAAGGAACTTTAATCCTGCACCTGCATTTCTAGGTAGCTATGGAGGCTCCCATATAGTGTCACCTTCACCTCAGTTCCCACCTCCACCCAGCCGGCCCTTTTCACTTCCTCCGCCACCTGCTTTTCAATAAGAAGCCCCACCCTCCTCAGAACAAGGAGTTCTCTCTGAGTCTGGGAGCAGGGCCTCGGGCGGGCGGGGAGGCAGTCAGAGAGGAAGAAAGGGCTGCTTTATGGTTCTCGCGGGCATTCTGGTCTCCACCTATTGTGAAAGAGCTGAGAGTGCAGGTTTTAAAAATATGAAATGAAATCTTGCTGGCCTGATTTGGTTTTCCTTTGTACCCTCCCCACTGCCCAGCTGACTTTCCTTTAAGGTCACCACATTTGTCCTGTGGGCACCAGTGGGCGCCAGGGGCCCTGCTAGGCTCTGGGGCTGGGAGTTTATGCGACAGTGAGGTCAACAGGGAAACAGCAAAACCTGGGTACTCTGAGGAGACGAAACATCGAAGCTCCTGCTGAGACCCAGATGTAACATCTTATTTGAAAACAATGATTCTTGGAGTTTTCTTGTTTCTGAAGGGAGTCCCGGGCTGCCTGTACCCAGGAGGCTGTGCGGACAGTCTGGGCACTGGGGGCGGGCAGGGGCAGGGCTGGGGTGGTACCACCTCTGTTGACTGCAGGGGCCGCAGGGCGTGACGCTGTCTGTCTGATGGGTCCCCAAATACAAGTTAGCAGGAAGGACAGTCCTTGTGCTGTATAGGACTTTCTTCTTCAAAATATCTCTGCCTGTGGCCCAGGCCAAGGCCTCTGGGTGGGTGGGCGGACAGGATGGTGCTGGTCTCACCTCTGGGTAGCTTACTTGTGTAGAGGTCCCTCCACTGATGGCCTTAGTTTGGACAGTAAATATCCAATACTTAAC